AAATCTAATATAATTTTTGGAAGCGAGGTAATATAAATTTGTTAGTTCATTGCAAATGTGGCTCCCATTCACAGATGCAAAACTCACGAGGTTTACTCAATAATTAATGGTGTTTTGTTGAAACCTAAAGCTGGAATTGAGTGTTGCTTTGTGATCCAACGAGTGGCCAATTAATCCCCATTATCTCTTAGCTACTTGTACCTTCAACATTAAAATTTACATTGGTTATTCATTTAACCGAAAATATTTTTAAGTATAATATCATATTAAGTAGCGTTTATATAATTAATAGGTAACGCTTATATAATAAAATATGTATTTAACCTGAAATATTATCAAGTACAATAATATATTAGGTAACGCTTATATAATGTAATAGGTATCGCTTATATAATAAAATAGGTATTTAACCGGAAATATTATCAAGTACAATAACATATTAGGTAGCACTTATATAATAAAATAGGTATTTAACCGGAAATATTATCAAGTACAATAACATATTAGGTAGCGCTTATATAATAAAATAGGTATTTAACCGAAAATATTATAAAGTACAATAACATATTAGGTAGCGTTTATATAATGTAATAGGTAGCACTTATATTGACCTATTTTCTAACTAAACCGGTATATTTATACCGGTAATATTGTAAATTTACCTATTACATTATAATCATCGGTTTCGATGTTTTTGGGATCGATACAATTTTAAATGTATCGACACTTTAGGCGTGCACCTTGTTGGCCATTCATTATGGAAAAAAGTATCGACACAAACATAAATGTGTCGATATATTATATAGACCTATTTTCTCATAAAACTGATATATTTCTACCGGGTACATTGTAAATTTACCTATTACATTGTAATTATCGGTTTCGATGTTTTTGGGATTGATACTTTTAATAAATGTATCGACACTTTATGCGTGCACCTCGTTTGGCATTCATTATGGACAAAATGTATCGACACTTTTTAAATTTGTTTCGATACATTATGTTAACATATTATCTTATAAAACCGGTATATTTATACCAGTTACATTGTAAATTTACCTATTACATTATAATTATCAGTTTCGATGTAACATATGTGTCGATACTTTTAGAAAATGTATCGACACATATGTTTAATTATTCTCTTATTATAATATAATTAATGATATATTATTCTTATTATAATAAATAATAAATATAATTTATAATAATTTTATTTTAATAAAATATAATAATTATAATTTTTTATTTATAAAATTATAGATATAATATTTTAATAAAAATATTGACATAAATAATATTAAAAAAATTATTATAATATTTAACAAAATAATATTATTATTTTGTTAATAAATAATATTATTTTATTGTATTTGATGTTTGTAATTATATTGTAATTATGATTTTTTTTCATCGCTTTATTATGATTATTTTTTAAAATTATATTGTAATTATATATAATTTTTTTATTTTTTTATTAGAAAGCTAATATCGAAATAGAAATATTTTGTTATTTTTTCATTAGTTAGATTGTGGCAACTTACAAACTAAAAAATTAAAATTAATTTGTATAGTTTGTGTTTACTAATTTTATTATTAAAAAGTCTATTTTTACTGGTTTTGTTATTGTTATGTTTTGTTATTGTTAGGCATAACAAAACAAAACCGGTAAAAATTACCTAAAATATTATTATTTCTACCTAAAACATCAATATTTTTTAACATTTCCGGTAAAATGCCCAACAATAACAAAACCGGTAAAAAAATAACAAAACCTGTAGCGCTTTACCGGTTTTGTTAAAATAATGATGTTTTTGGTAATTTTTACCGGTTTTGTTATTGTTGTATACCGGTACATTGTAAATTTACCTATTATATTATAATTATCAGTTTCGATGTAACATGTGTCGATACTTTTAGAAAATGTATCTACACATATGTTTAACTATTCTCTCATTATAATATAATTAATGATATATTATTATTATTATAATAAATAATAAATATAATTTATAATAATTTTATTTTAATAAAATATAATAATCATAATTTTTTATTTATAAAATTATAGATATAATATTTTAATAATAATATTGACATAAATAATATTAAATAAATTATATAAATAATATTAAATAAATTATTCTAATATTTTAAAAATAATAATATTATTATTTTTTTAATAAATAATATTATTTTATTGTATTTGATGTTTATAGTTATATTCTAATTATTATTATTTTTCATCACTTCATTATGATTTTTTTTTAAATTATATTGTAATTATATATAAATTTTTTTATTTTTTTTATTTTATTAATAGAAAGCTAATATCGAAATTGAAATACGTGTCCTTTTTTTCATTAGTTATATTGTGATAACTTACAAACTAAAAAATTAAAATTAATTTGTATAATTTGTGTTTACTAATTTTATCATTAAAAAGTCTATTTTTATCGGTTTTGTTATTGTTGGGCATAACAAAACCAGTAAAAATTACCTAAAACATTATTATTTCTACCTAAAACATCAATGTTTTTTAACATTTCTGGTAAAATGCCAAACAATAACAAAACCGGTAAAAATAACAAAATCGATAGCGCTTTACCGGTTTTGTTAAAATAATGATGTTTTCGGTAATTTTTATCGGTTTTATTATTGTTGTATACCAGTTACATTGTAAATTTACCTATTATATTATAATTATCGGTTTCGATGTAACATATATTTCGATACTTTTAGCAAAATGTATCGACGCATATGTTTAACTATTCTCTCATTATAATATAATTAATGATATATTATTCTTATTATAATAAATAATAAATATAATTTATAATAATTTTATTTTAATAAAATATAATAATCATAATTTTTTATTTATAAAATTATAGATATAATATTTTAATAATAATATTGACATAAATAATATTAAATAAATTATTCTGATATTTAAAAAATTATTTTGTTAATAAATAATATTATTTTATTATATTTAATGTTTATAGTTATATTGTAATTATGATTATTTTTCATCACTTCATTATGATTATTTTTTAAAATTATATTGCAATTATATATAATTTTTTTTATTTTTTTATTTTATTATTATAAAGCTAATATCGAAATAGAAATATCGTGTCCCTTTTTCATTAGTTATATTGTGGCAACTTACAAACTAAAAAATTAAAATTATTTTGTATAATACGTGTTTACTAATTTTATCATTAAAAATGTTATTTTTACCAGTTTTGTTATTCATGAGTATAACAAAACTGATAAAAATTACCTAAAACATTATTATTTCTACCTAAAACATCAATGTTTTTTAACATTTCCGGTAAAATATCCAACAATAACAAAACGGGTAAAAAATAACAAAACTAGTAGCACTTTACTGATTTTGTTAAAATAATGATGTTTTCGGTAATTTTTACCGGTTTTGTTATGCACAACAATAACAAAACCGGTATATTTTACCCGGTAAAATGTCAAATAATAATAAAACTGATAGAAATAATAATGTTTTCGATAATTTTTACCGGTTTTGTTATGCACAATAATAATAAAATAAGTACCACCTTTTTTTAGCCAATAATAAAATTAATACTACTTTTTTTTAACCGTATATTAAACGTCTAACGTGAGCATTCCTCAAAACACATGTAAATCAGCGGGACAAACAATAATCTGGATAAATCCTTGAGTGCAACTTAAATTTAATATCAAAAGAATTGAATAAAAAATTGAAAGTTTATTTATTAATTATCCAATTAATTTCTTTAATCTCTTTACGAATATTATGTGTTATATTATAGTAATTATTAAATTAAGATTTAGTCGCTTATATTAAAATTTAGTAATGTTTTTTTTAATAAATCTTAAAATTAAGATACTGATGAATTCATATTAAATATTTTAAAAAATAGCAGCGTTTTAATAATGGAAAAAGGAAAGAGAGGAAAAATCATTTTTATGCACGTTTGCGTGAGAAAAAGATCTGTCGGCAGAAAGGATGTGTAACTTTAAATATAGAAAATGATGAATAATTCAAGTGATAACCTGTAAATATCCTAAATTTAAACGCTCTTACCGACTTTTGTAATTTACCTACTAATTATGACTTTTGGATTATCTGTCCCTTTGATGGTTTGATCTCCACTTGTATATACAGTGGTGAAATTCAATATATAATTTTAACACAAACTTTAAGCAAAATTTCCAAAAATGGTAGAAGTGCGTGGAGGGGTCCAATTAGCAAGAAATTCCAAATTCCAAAAGAAGGGAACCCATCAAAGTTGCCAATGCCTTTCGTTAAGAACAAAGAAAAGACTAGTTGTGTGCACTAAAAGGAATATGTTTTTCTTGTCTCCAATGTCTCTGTCTGGGTGTTTAAGCCTCTCAAATTCATAAACATTATCATATATCTACACTATTAATCAATCAATATTTAAATCGATATAGGTATTGGTTCAAGTGATAAGTAGTTTGATATCACTTAAGTAAAATATTGAGTTTGAGTCATTGTATATGCACAAAATTCATGCAGACCCACTAAAATCAGGTGTGCAATACAGATCGATCCGAATTAATTCATGTAAAACCTTGAAACAAGAAAGACAAACAAAAATAAAATATTTAAATCATTAATGATATACAAGATATTGGGAGCATATTACTTTCAATAAATATAAAAAAACCTTATATTTAATAAGCGATCCATTATTAACTTTTCTTTTATCTTTAAATTTTATATCAAAGATTTGTAATATATTTCTTCATAATTTTGTAGCTTTATGTTCATCTTCCATTATTTTTGCTTTCCTTCTTATGCACAATACCCCAAATTTACTTTTCTTCCTATCAAAACAAAAAAAATTGTAAGAGAATGAAAGCCTTGATAATATGTGCAATACTTAATAAAACAAATTTCAATAGGTACAAAAAAAATTTGGGGAATTAACGGTGCCGTTTATGCCTTCAGACAAATCTATCTACCGAAGTCCCCAGCTATTCTGAGTCTCTGACCCAAAAAAAGGTCCCCAACCACAACGAAATTCTCCCACCTTAACCAGAGGTTCACCATTTCTTCAGAAAACCGGCCGAAAACATCTGCAAACCCGAAAAAGAAGAAGACCAAAATCGGGCCGGGTTCCAAAGATGGGCGTGAAAATTGCACCATCCATGCTTTCATCTGATTTTTCTAACTTATCAGAGGCAAAGTTCATGCTTGACTGTGGAGCTGATTGGCTTCATATGGATATCATGGTAAAAAGCTTCTAACTTTTCTCTTTTAATGGATAATGAATTAGAAGAAAATGTATTTTCAAAAAATCTAACTCTTTTTGGGTTCTGGGTTTTCTTCTGCAGGATGGGTATGTTTCATTGCTTTTGATAAAATTCTGTCCTTTTAGGGTTTTGGTTCTTTCTCTTTCTCACTCTTCTCAACTTTTTCTTTAATATATTTTTTTAGCTAATTAAAGGAGACACTTTTAAGTAATCAGAACCAATGGCTGCCATGCAATTTCTTTTATGAATTCTGTACTTGGGCTGAGGATATGATTATATGTCAGGAAATTGAGGGACTATGTATCCTTAATTGTTAATATCTTGGGAAGTTATTTGAAACATTGGAAAAGAATGACTAATCCTAATTGTTTAACTTGAGTAAATTTTTGTGCTTTTAATGACTAATCCACATTGTTATATTAGCTTGTGAAATTGGATTGATTTTTGCAATATGTATGTAAATTCATGTTTTTTAATCTGTGTTCGTTATAATTTGCTGTAGTTATTTAGATTTGCAGTCATGTTTAGCCAAGCTCTATCTGTTTATCTTATTGAATACTTGTCGATGATTACTTGTTGATTGTCATATTGATATACAGGCACTTTGTACCGAATCTAACCATTGGTGCTCCTGTCATTGAGAGCTTAAGGAAGCACACAAAGTAACATTCGTTATGCCCTGGCAGTATTTTGGCTTATTAATATTATTGGCAAGTTGACAACACTAAATAGATCAAGGATTCTGCTTTTCCTACAGGGCATATCTGGATTGCCACCTTATGGTCACTAATCCGATTGATTATGTTGAACCTATGGGTAAAGCTGGTGCATCTGGTTTCACTTTTCATGTTGAAGTATCCAAAGGTGGGCTGTGATCCGGTCTTCCGCTTTCATTTTTGCTTTACTTCCTGCCTTATCTACCTGTTTTATTCCTCATTTCTTATGCAAAAATGTTTTATTGGCTTTTGCGGAAAACTGGCAAGAACTTATAGTAAGAATCAAGTCAAAAGGCATGCGGCCTGGTGTGGTGTTAAAGCCTGGAACACCAATTGAGGAGGTTTATCCTCTGGTATGAATGCCTTCCCTTTCTGTGATTATTTGGATTTTGAATTGTTTGTTTTAGCTAGTTCTTGGAATTTAATGGATTTCAGTCCAATTCTTTGATCACTGTTATACTGGTGGATTTTTTTTGAAGAAAAAAGCAAATATTTATGACAATGTGATTGAATTTTTCTCTTCGGTGGGTGATTATCTATTAGATTGACAGCGAAAATCCTGTGGAAATGGTTCTCGTGATGACTGTAGAACCGGTATTTGGTGGACAAAAGTTCATTCCAGAAATGATGGATAAGGTTTCATATGATTCTCATTGTTCAGTTCCATTTCAGACTTTCTAGATTTTATTTGAATGTCATTTTTGTAATTGCTTTGAAGGTGCGTGCCCTAAGAAAGAAGTGCCGATCACTCGATATAGAGGTAATTAAAGTTATTACCTCGTAATATTCTATAACTTGATCGTTTCTGAATTTCAGCAACGAATATGTATTCGAAACTACATATTCTTAGGAACATCACCTTCTTTCATTACCACAATGTTATTTTGCAACGACCCTTCATTGTAGTTGAAGTATTGATATCCAACATATATATGAACGTAGGTATGGAGATATGATCCTCTAAGGATCATCCAAATATGTTGATGAAACTCATATCTGGCACACTCGAGTTTGAGTAACTTAGCTGAAACGACCAACTGTTAAAGCTCCCCCGGTTTTGTTTTGCAGGTCGATGGTGGCTTAGGGCCTTCAACTATCGATATGGCGGCTTCAGCAGGAGCTAATTGCATCGTTGCTGGGAGTTCAGTATTTGGAGCTCCAGAGCCAGCTGCACTTATATCCCTTATGCGGAAAAGTGTTTCGGAAAATCATCAGAACTAAACATTTTCACGTATGCAAGATAAAGCATTTGTGGGTTTTCAAAATTTAATTTTAAAATTTTATAGTAAAATATCAGAATCTAATTCAATTATAGTATATAAAATTTATATATTGATAAATACATTAAATATAAATAAAATAAATAAACTAAAATATTTGTAAATAACCGAGAAAGAGGCTGAAGAGCCTAAAGCTTTATTTTATTGTTTGATGCTGTTTTCTTATAGTTTACTTATCAATTTTCCTAGAAATTGGGCAAGTGGGAAATGGAATATTATATCTTGAATTTTATTTTCTCAACTTCAAGAATTTGGTGTGCATATGTATATATATCTTATTTTATTATTATTGTATTTGAATGTTTAGAAAATATTTTAGTGAAGAAATCGGTTATGTTATATGTAAATTAGAAGCAGTGGGATTAATAAAGCCATCAACTTTGATATTATAAAATGAAATGAAATTACTTCAAATAAATAAAATTCAATTTGTCGAAAGATTAAACTCTTAGTCGAATTACTAATACCTGCATATGCATATATGCGTGAACTTATTTAAGATATACTTCTAATATAGTCACTCGAATTTGGTATCTTAAAAGAGAATAATATTCCATTTTCATCACCTTAATTATATAATAAATTTAGAGTTATTTAGAAGGGTGGTAAAAGAGTTGATTGTCATCGAATTTTTTATATAATATTTCATATGCTTTTTTTTCAAAATGTTTGTTGACTTTTTTATAAGATTTCATTGCTTTGCTTTTTTTTTTTCATCTCTTTAGCTTTGTTTTTGAATATTTAAGTTTCGTATGTTAATTTATTTAAAAAAATCGTTCATTATTTTTATGAAAATGATAAATATTTTATTGGGTATTTTATAGTACATTTCTTCTTTTTTTTTGTAGGGATTTGTTATGGTCTCTTTCATTAGCGTTTATTTGATTATTTAATTTTATTTTGGTTTCGGACTTATTTTGATATTAATAGGTACATGTAATCACCCCTAATACTTGAGTTGTGATATAATTAGTTGTTAGGTTCTATATTAATCTATTTTAGACTTGTTAGCTTTTCTATTTCAATATTATGAATATTATTTTATTTATTTAATAAATTAATTGTAATTATCTATTTAAAATAAAAAAATAGATAGATTCAATATTATATTTTGTCCATCGTCATCTAATATAAACTTAACAATCATTCAATACCATTTATAAATATGTTTTTTTAATTTATAAGTATAAGTAAACTTTACACATATTTATGAACTATGATGTTGTTTAATATATTTAAAAATAATAGAAAAATAATATTTTACTAAATCCTAACCCAAAAGGAACACATATACTGTAAAAGTTATGAAAATGTTAAATCGATTTTTTTGTTTTTATTTTACATATTTTTTCTGATATAAATAAAAGCGGTTAATTTATTAGAAAAATCTAAAATTATAATGAAATTTATAACCAACCATAAACTAACTAAATAAAGAATTAGAATATTTCGATATAACAAATATAATAAACTAATCATTTGACATAAATACAAATAAATATAATTGCATCGACAAACGGACTACAACATGAAACTAAACTATTAAAAGACTATTGAAAATCATAAATTAAAATAAATCGATGTAACAACAAATATAATAAACTAATCATTTGATATAAATACAAATAAATATAACTGCATCGACAGTCGGACTACAACATGAAACTAAACTATTAAAAGACTATTGACAATCATAAATTAAAATAAAATATCATAGAAAACTATCTCTAAATGCAAAACGTTTATTCAAATCTAATCTGATGATCTAAATTAGAGAAAATCAATATAATAATAAATAAACATCATCTTAATCATCATCAAATTTAATCTTAAAAAATTAAATATTATATACTTACGCTTCATCATGTTATTTAGGAATTAAAATTTCTTTTAATTGGTCTCATTACACCCTTAAGTTACTGTAATTATATCCGAGCTTTTTCAGTTTAGATTCTAAAATTATTCGAGATTGATTCCAGTGTTATTCTTCTAGAAAGCTGTTCTCTTGCAACGAATCCACGTGTCACCGTCTAAACCTTCAACCATTTCAAACCGTGCGGTTACAACACATCGTTTTCACGCCTCGCAAAACACAACCAAATGATTTTTTCCAATCATTCAATCAACAAATAAAACGTCGGCATCTGTCAATGCTACGGCAGTAATTTTCTCTTCCAACAGTGGCATTTGTCTCTTTCCCATCTCAGGAAAAAGATCCTCTGCTCTTTCGTTACCCCTCTCCAACGTTTTCCTTTTTTTTTCTTTTACCTAAAAACCTAAAGCCACCATGGCAATGGCTTGCCTCCCAAAGCTCCGAGTTGCCACCGCCGCTGTTTCCAAAATCGTTAATCCTCTCCGACATCGGATCCGATCCTTCGGATCTGCCGCCGCTTTGGAGATCCCCTACGACGATGAATACTACGACTACGAACAAGCTCACCGGGACCCGCGTTCATCTCAGCCGAAGATTGACGTGGATGGGTTGGCGACAGACAGGGGAGTACAGTGGGTGCTTATTGGGGAGCCTGGGGTTAAACGACATGCTTTTGCTGAGAGGCTGTCGAAGCTTCTAGAAGTTCCACATATTTCAATGGGTACCCTTGTTAGACAAGAGCTTAATCCCCGCTCTTCTCTTTACAAACAGGTCTATATATATCTTTTTCCTTTGTGAATAAATTTCGATCTTCTTTAAAGTTGGGTATTTTCTTTGTTTATAAAGAAGGCTAATTTTAGAGTTCTCTTTGAGTTTTGGATTGTTCTTTTGTGCTTTAGAGGTTCCTGTAATATTGGAGAAGATTTGTTTTTTAAGTGTAAAAGATATCAAATAAATTTGTTAATTAATTGTCTGATTAAATAACTTTGTTTTATATATAATATGGTGAAGAACGCTAATTGTTGGTGCCATTTGGGTTTAGATTGCAAATGCTGTGAATGAAGGAAGCTTGTGCAAGAGGATGTAATTTTTGCTTTGTTATCTAAGAGACTTGAAGAAGGTTACTATGGAGGTGAAAATGGTTTCATTCTTGATGGGATTCCTCGAACCAGGATCCAAGCTGTAAGTCGTCTATGATTATGATGGTGTTTGCAAATTGCAGCTATAGTTTCTCCATGTTTATATATTAATCCTATTCAAGTTTAGGATAATCAATCTCCTTTTGGTTCTAAGTTTTTGAAGCTGAATGAACCCCCTTTTTTTGTTTAATGTTCCTTTGAAATGCTTGTTCACTTGTTTTATTTTTCTTGCAGGAGATTCTCGATCAAATTACTGATATTGATCTGGTTGTGAACTTTAAATGCACTGAAGAATATATGTTGAAAAGTTCAGAAAGTGAGTTTCTTCACATAGGCAATTCCAAAGATGTAGGAAGTCCCTGGAAGAAAAATGTCAAGGCATACTCAGAGCAGGTAATAATATTCATTGTTGGAAAACATCCATTGGTCTGCAGCATGCTATTTTTTAGTCTTTTTTTCTCTCTCTTTGATTAGTGATATGCATGTGTGAATGTGATGAACTATTAGATTCTTGAAATCTGGATCGAATGTAGTTAACTTTTACTATCCAACTAATTGTTTTGATGTACATAGGCCAAGTCAGTGGAGGATTATTACAGTAGGCAAAAGAAGCTTCTCAACTTTCAGGTCTCCGGTACACCGGCAGATGCATGGCATGGTCTTTTGGCTGCATTACATCTCCAGCATGTTAATGCTCTCACCGCTTCACAGAAGCTGACGGCATAAATGTTGTTATTCTTTAAAACTACGTTTACTTTTGATATTCCGGCATCGTAGTAAATATGTAACTATTGAGTGTTAGACAAGTTTTTGAGTGTGGCAAACAACCTTAGTTGGATTTGCCTCTGGAGTTTTGTTTCCCATTTGTGAGTTACTACGCTGTTTGAAAATATGTAATGTAGTTTTGGCCAAGGGCAGAGATGATCATTGTCCCATATAAATCGCTTTTAATATAAGGATTGCTTTGTCTTCTTCATTTCCATCTAAACTATTTTGTTTTTCTAATCAAAAGCCATAAAGCTACCAGACAGACTCGATGATTCTGGAAAAGATCCATGTTTCAACCCCTTTCTAGGGCCGAAATAAAGACAAGTGGTTGTCCCGGTCACTAGATGTTTTATTTTCCTTTCTCCCTGGAGAGGATTCTTTCCATTTCAACGGAGATGATGCCTGTTTCTTCCCCTTTCCACCTCCATTTCTTTCCATGGGTCCAGCACAGAGTGGTAACTTAAACTCTCCAATGTTTTCACTTATAATTGCTCGCACCACAACACAGTTTGACAACCAGAACGTCAACCTGTAGTCATCATACATATGATGTATGAGCTAATGAGAAATCATGTATATGATGTATCATGTATGAGGTTAAATTACAGCAGTGACGAAACCTGAAAATTGTTTGGGGGCAAAAAGTTAAAACTTTTAAGAGGCAAAAATGAAAAGTTGGATATTATATTAATTAAAATTTTACAATTTTTGAAGAGACTAAACATAAGCTATCATTTCTGAGGGAGCCGAAATATGATTTTACCATCACACATTAAAAATGTTTGAATTTAAAGGGACTAAAGAGCAATTTCACAATTTGGGGGTGGGGAGAAGGCCATTGCCACCATCCCTGAATTACAGCCAAGACTTCGGGAAAATCCACGCTGGAGAATTGAGGATTGGACTAATAGAACTTCAAAATGTTACAGCAAACTGATGGTAACGAATGTTCATGCGAAACAAGATTAACGTGACTTGAAGATACCTCGGAACATCATTTCCACATGCTTTTGCAACCAGAACAAGTCCAGAAACAGCACCTATAGCTGCACTCGCGCGTCTTAATTGTGATCCTTCCTTACAAGAATGAAGATACAGCCTACAAGGGCGCCGAGCTGGAGCATGCACTTTACTCATGGAGCTTCCATCCTCAGCAACTACTGAATACAGAGCAGCCTTGAGGGCAGCAGCTTCTCTCAACTCTCCTTCAAGCATCTTTATCCTGTTTTCCAACCGCTGCACTTTGTTATCCAAAACGGCACTTCTGGTATCCTTCGGATATACCTTTGAAACTTTCCTTTCGTTGCTCAATTTGCTTCTGAAGCTTCCTGGCCCATGGTGTGCATCTGTCACAACGCCGACTTCCTTCAACTCCCCATTGCTCCTAGCCAAGTCTGATGAAGCTCGAACGGACTTGACATTCAGTAGTCTGTCACTTTTGCCATCATTTGTGCCAAGATTCCCCTGGATTTAAAACATTTTCTTCTAATTGAATATTCAGTAGCTCGTTTTCTTCCAAGTATTGTCCTTCATGTCCGTTTTCTTGCCAGCCATATCCCTAGTTCCCTTCCAGAGAACAATCATATGCATCAGCAGCAGCTGAAGCCTGGGAGCCAGAAGATGCATCTTCCATACTTTCATCACGCCTAAACATGGTTCCTTTATTGGCAACCATTTCACGAGCCTTCTGAGGTAAATCTTCACAACCATTTCTTCTCATGTCGGCCCGTGCAGGTGAATAGGAACCATAAGAGTTAAATCTGGAAGCAAAAGCATCTACAGAGCTCTCGAAGTTTGCTACACTTGTTCTTTCCAAGTTCGACTTTGACGCCAACGTATTTTCACCTTTTGACATCCTTACCGTCAATTACAGCAACCGATCCACTCTGCAATCCAGTAGCAATTACTACATTACCAAGCGTAGTTTAACTAATAAAAGAAAAATCGAGGCATCACATTAAGCTGACCGTAAGGCCATGTCCCAAAACAACACCATCTTGATCTAAGGGGAGATAATGTGATGAAGTGAACTAACATTAGAGAGGAGTGTGAGTAAACATCATCATCGGTGAATGACGCAATCTCAGCTTCCTCGGCATATTCTTCATTCATGAGAGAAGTAACGGACTCACTTCTTTTCCTGTCCTCTGGTAGCTCCTTCTCACATTTTTTGTAAAAATATTACTCAAGTGATGAATAATTAATTACTTTGTACATTTCAATATAATTTGTAAATTATCTCATTTATTTTATTAATTTATTTATAACTATAAAAAGTAAATACTATTCCAATAATTTTTATTTATAGATAATACTAACATTAATAGTTACAAGTGTATTTTTAAAACGAAAATCTAAATTTAATTCAAAATATTATTTGAATTAATAATTAAAAGCTCTAAAACTGATTAGTCTTGATAGGACATTCTTAAAGATAATGAATTAAGATTAAGAAGTGATTACTGTATTTATTTATTTTTAACCAAAATAAGCAAAGTACCTAACAGGCAAAAAGGTGAAATTAAATTGTAGTTTGCAGTTAGTTTCCCAAGCAAAATGAACTTCAACTCAAAGCAAGCAAAGAAGAAGAGGGAAAAAAAATGAAAAGAGGAGAGTTGAGACTTGAGATGAACAAGCTTTTATCAAACCAAACATGGCCAAGCTAGATAGGTAGCAGGTGAAGATTGAAGTATTATGTAATATGAATTCGAAAAATAAATATCCAATATTTATATCCGATACCCTTATATCTGGACATAAGTATTGGCATATGATATTCCAATGACCTTCCGAATATATATCCGACATTCGAATTCGAGTAACAGATAGAAAAAACAGAACAGACGTTTGAGCTAAGCTATTAGTATGATTATTGAAAACCAGTATTTGGTGTCATTTCCTTGTTGTCAATGGACACACAGTAAACTTCCAACAAAATGTGTGTAAGACATCTATTTTACCAAAATTTTCTATTTATAAGGTCTAAAATATTACAGTTTCTACTTTGCATTTCTCAGGAAGTGAGCTCAATCTAGGCCTATCTCATACTCAATTGACTATGATGTAGAATCGGATTTCTGATCAGCATCGGCCGAGGCCTGAACTTGAGCTGCGTACTGCAAGTTCCAAAGAACATCAGCAAAAGAGGGTCGAGACGATGGTTCAAGACATATGCATTTTCCGGTAACCGATACCACGATGGATAATGACTCCTGTGAACAAGTGGTCAACACTGTTGGATCCACAATTCTCTTTCGACCATCCTGGCTGCCGAAAGATGCCTGCGATGCATAATACAAGATCTTAGAAGTTCTAAGAAACATGAACTTTAACATATATTCAATTTCGTATTTTCTAGCCGATACTAATTGTCGATTAGTATGTTAAATGGAACTCATAAGAGAAAACAATGACTTACCATTTCATTCAAAGAAATGTTTATCCTTTCCCACTCACTATAGGCCCAACAAGAGACTCAAGTAATATAAACCCAAAGTTGTAAACATCATCCTCTAAATTTTTCCTTTGGCTGCAATATAGAATGAAAGGCAGTTTAGTAAGTATGTAAACAACAATGGGCAATAAAGTCTAAGAAATGATGATCGTTGTATATTGCTCCGACTCTTCATTTTTCGAATATCAGTATCCAACACATAATTAATGTCATGCATGTTGCAGGCCAAAAGTTTCAATATTCTGCCGAGGTCTGGTTCTAGACAATACCTCGACTTTAAGCCGGCATCCTTCGCCTGCAGAACAATAAAATGTTTCAGAACAACCACTCAGGAGGATCATTATATCTTTTGAAAGTATCAAGTTAAATATAAATAGCAAGGAAACATGCCTTTAGTTTTTCATTTTCTTCCATGATGATTGACATCCCATAGTCACTCAGCTTTGCAATTCGATACTCATCCAGCAATATATTGTTAGTCTTCAACCGGTTATTATAAACTCCGGGAATCACTCCAGTATGTAGAAAATGTACAGCCTTGGCTACATCTATTAGAATTGCTAATCTTTCTGACCACTTAAGAACCTTTTCTGGACAAGTTTCTGCATCATTTTTCCAGATTATAATGGTCAGAAACTGGCAGACATTAAGGATTATATAGGAAAGGTCACACTATGTTGCTTGGCACTTAGCATACACACACATATACAATTCAAAGTTGAAGCAAAACACTGACCTGACAAATGCATACGATAATTCCTGTTGGGCACATAGTCGTATACGAGGAACACTTTGTTTACTCCAGAATCATCTAGTGCACCACCATCAACCCAGTGACCTAAAAGACCTACTAAATGTGGATGGTGAATCTTTGACAAGAAAACAAGCTTAACTTTAAGATTTTGAATTGAGTGTTTCTTCAGTAAAGTCAATGATCGGATGGCAACATAGGTTCCATTCTCCAATCTTCCTCTGTAGAGCTGACAAATAGAAACAAATAAAGTCAGCTAGGCCATTGGTGATATCAAATGCAAATTTTCAGAACCATCCAATATATATATATCAGAACCAAGTACATTATTTGTAACCATGTTTTGTAGTACTTAAAGGGTATAATCTTGTTTTGTAAATCTTAGCTTCAGCAAGCTGTTTTCTTTGGTGTGGTGCTTCGAGAAAGGGAAAAAATGAAAGAACAAGTCGTGAGGATACCTTTCCAGTATATCCTTCACCCATAAACATTGATGAATCAAAGTTATTTGTGGCTTCCTCTAACTCTTCCATTGAAAACAGTCTAAATACTGGAGAACCTTGTGTCCCTAGTTTCACAAGTTCAGAAATGAATCCTAAACAAATAAAATCAAATAATTAAGGATCAGTAATTAACATTAATAGTTACTCAAATATCCATTTGAAGCACTATAAAGCTGGGTTAGAAATCATGATGAACTCCCTTCTAATAAGTTACTGTAAAATGAACTTGGATTGATTTGGGAATGATAGTAGTAGCAAGAACAGTTTTTGCTTACTGGCATTTGCAAGAACATCGGATGAAACTCCTGTTGTTGGATTGTCTTGAACAGCCTTTTGCCATATGTGAGTTTCAAAAGTCCGCCTTGGCCGGCATCTTTGGAACAGAATGATAGTCCCAAATGCCAAAAGCATCAGAAGCAGAACAGATACTACAATAACAGCAATTAATAATGCTAGCTTTCTTCCGCTTCTTCTTGTGTTTGCTTCTTTGCAATACGAACCTTGATGCTGCTGTTGGCCATCAGTTGACAAGCAGTTCCCACCATATTTGACTGCTCTCTTATCTGATTTACTGTCTAAGCAAGAAGGAAGATCACCAGCCAACTTGTTACTAGAAATATCTATGAATCCGAGTTTGCTACTGCAAGTTAGATGCTCCGGAAATGAACCGCTCAACAAATTTGATGCCAAATTCAAATAACTGATGCTTGGCAAATCAAACAAGGCAGAGGGGGGTGTTCCACTCAGATGATTGGAAGATAAGTCAAGGTGCTGAAGATGACTCAATCTGCCAAATTGAGCCGGAATGTCACCGGAGAATAAGTTCTGAGCAAGAAGAGCTGTAACCAGTCCTTGGGGCATGACAGGCAACTTACCTGAAAGCTTATTGTGGCACAAGGCAATATCTGTTAGGTTTGAAATTTGACATATTGAAGAAGGAAAGTGACCCTTCAACCTATTGCCCCTAAAACTCAGAACGGTAAGATTTGATAAGGAATCCAATGTCTCAGGAATGGTATCATTGAAGTAGTTGCCATCCAATGTTAGAGTTTGAAGCGTAACCATTCTAGATATCTGAGGAGGGATTGAGCCAAACATGAAATTGGAGCTTAAGTCCAAAAGTTCAAGAGAATCTAGCCTATGAATCTTATCAGGAAGTGGACCCCATATTCCAAGAGACACTAAGCTAAGCACCCTCAAACTGGTTAACCTTGTCAATGTGGTAACCAAGGAATCAATGGAGAAAGTCAGAGACAATGTTTTACCAGGAGTTGCATATCCATTGAAGCCACCAATATTGGCAAGCTTATCTCCCCTAATCTTAAGCTCAGTGACAATTATCCTGGCAAGATATCACCACATGTGACGTTTCAGACAAGTTACAGAGGTCCCCATTGTAATTTTCCAGGATTTGAAGCTCTGAAGGGTACTCTAAATGCATCCTTATTTGCAGCAAAAGTTGAGTTTGATAACTTTGTAATCCATTTGTAGTTAGGCAAAAGCAACTCCATGAAACATTACTAGAACAAACCAGAAAAAGTATCCCATTGAACAAGCTTGTGAACCAACAAACTCCAGATGTAAAAGAGCCCTAGGATTGAAAGCAAGAAAGTTAAGTTCAGAAGAAACTGAGACATACCTTGCAAAACTGAAGCTTTCATAAGCAATGGTTTACCTGAAGGTTGAACCTTTATTTGCAAACCCCAAGAATAGAAATTTCACTGAAGTTGAGAGCTGCAAAATCCTGCATATGCGCTCTTAGTAAATTCAAAAGCACACTGAAAAGTATAAATGCCTGAAATTTAAGCAAATGCTGGTGAAAAAACAAAAGGAAACAAAAAAGAAAATTCTTACTCGGGAAGATCAAAGGCGGTGTTTTTCCCAAGAAAAGTTCAGCACTAACTTCCAGTCAAAAGAGAACGACAAGCAATGGGGAGAAACACAAGAGAACATTAACAAACAAGCAACTTTCATGATCCAAGGAACACGTCTTTAACTCTCTCTCTCTCTCTTGCTACTTTCCGGGAAAGTAAACAACTACCCAGAAAACCAAAACAAGGTTAAAAAAATTGTACCTTGAAGTAATTAGCAAACTGTAAAGGTTAGTTTAACATAGGTTGGTTAAGTTTCTGAAAACGATAGTAGTATTTAAGAAAGTGAGGTATTAAAGACAAGTGAGACTGCGCCTGCAAAATGCATATGTAATGGAAGGTGGTAGTTGAAAAACACCGTACAAAAGGGAGAAACAGTCCAAGATAACCGATACGGCAATTAAGAGGGAGGTGCATTAATGGCAAAGCCTTTATTTTTCTTGAGAGAAATACAAAGCAAGGATTGCTGAGAGAAAAGCGTGTTTAAGAAATGCAGAAATGCAGAGTGAACACTGTATAACCAAAATAATACAGATTTCAAGTTAAATGAAGTTTTGTCTATTGATAAAACAACATAAGTCTATCATAAGATAATCATCTGCAAAATATGCAGTTGATGAACAAAAGTAAGGCATCATATCAGTACCAGATATGGGAATGGAAAAAGGATCAAGCAATTTCAATGTCTTCTCACCCCCAAAAGAAATTAAAAAAGAAGAAGAAAGCTATAGCATTGGAACTTGGAATAATGGTAAACAAGCTTTGCAGTCACTCTAATCCCGGGACCCTTTCCTCTTGGACAGCCTGTTTTGAAGGCAAGGCCACGTTACATTTAAGCCTTGGAATCCCATGCAACATGATCAACTACAGCAGTAGCACCACCTTAAACCAGGCGCTTGTGCCCAATGTTTCGAATCACAAAATGCCAAAATCCCACCTCAAAACCATGGATTTTAGTCTCTCCTTTCCTATAGTCTTATATATTGATCAAGAGAATCTTGTACGTTTGTGGAAAATGAAACCACTCACTTGCCTTTCAAATTGAAGCATAAGGGGGGGGGGGAATATGCGGAGACAAAGAGGCATATGTAGGTTGAGGGACCAAAGTGTCACAGACTTAGAGTAGTTAGTTCGGTTGCTAATCCGTGCGGCATTCGAAAGGGACGCTTCCCAACCAAGTCAGTCTTTATCTCGTATATCTGATCAAACCGAAACAAACATTGCTTTAGATCTTTATAGCCACATGGTCATTCGACCAATAATCCGAGCCCGTGGGGCATAGCGGATGCACACATCAACCCCCGGACTTCTCTGAGAGAAAAATATTTTATTAAAAAAAGAAATATCGGGTTACATAAGACTCACCCACACCATCGATTAGGCCGTAGGGGCGGCCCTCGATGGTGTTCACAAGACACGTACCTTTACATGTGGATCAACCCAAACTCTGTCAGTTGTCCACCCCTACATATATGCGAAAACAAAATAACAGAAATGCTACCTATAGACGTTGAAATGCTCGAACAGGGGACAATAAGTCATACCCCCACTCCCTACCTAAAACATTGAAATGCTTGAAAATAGGACAATTTTATTCTACCATGCCACTAGGCCCTATACATGATTGGCATTGGCGTGCCTACCCGGTTGTGGCCCCATAAAAGGGACGGCCACGACAATCTCCCCCACCTAATTTATCGATATCTTTGTCGACTGCATGGCCTGGAACTCTTCAATCTTCTACTTGAATGCCCTGAGGTCATACTCTCTTTCCCAAGTGTTCTCTTCCTAATCAAAGCCTCCCCACTTGACTAGATACTCTCGTCTTTGCTTTCCGCCCACCTTAACAATTCTCCCTGCAAGAATCTCGTCAACATGTCGTTGTGAGGGTGGTTGCGTACCAATCAACTCTCTGGGAGGCATACTCTGATTAGCGACATTGGGATCGGTGTGAAACGACTTCAGATTACTCACATGGAAGACAGGGTAAACTCCTATCCAAGTAGGAGGGTCCACATTGTACGAAGCATTCCCCACCTTTGCTACTATCGAGACTAGACCCTCGTACTTTCGCACCAAGAGATGATCCCTCTGGCGCTAAAATCTAAGTTGTTCTGGCATCAACTTGACAAGCACCCAATCTCCAACCTGAAAGTGTAGGTCTCGTCTGTTACGATTTGCGCATTTCTTCATACGCTTCGCTGCTTTCTCCAAGAAAGCCTTGACTCTCCATATTTTGCTTCCACTCCCCCACAAAATTTGAGGCACGAGGGCATCTTCCTTGAGAGGTCTCATCCACAGTATGTGGAAGCCTTGGCTGCTGACTTGTCACCAGTTCAAAAGGGCTTTTATTTGTAGATGAACTCTTTTGTGAATTAAAACATAACTGTGTCACATCCAATAGTGGAGGCCAATTCTTCTGATTGGCCTGAATGAAGTGCCTCAGGTACTCCTCCAAGAGTCCATTAAATCGCTCAGTCTGTCCATCTGTTTGTGGGTGGTAACTCGATGAAAAGTTGAGTTGCGTCCCCATTAATTGGAACAATCCCTTCAAAAACTTCCCAATAAATCTTCCATCTCGGTCACTGACTATGCTCTGAGGAATGCCCTAATATTTCACCACGTGTTTGAACACCAACCTAGCAGTCTCTTCCACCAAACAATACTTCGGTGCTGGTACAAAAATGGCATACTTCGAGAACCTATCCACTACCACCAGAATTGATCCAAGATCTCCTACTCGAGGCAAGCGTGATATAAAATCCAAGGAGATGCTCTCCCAATGACGAGCAAGTACTGGTAGTGGCTCGAGTAACCCGACAGTCCTCTGTCGATCTACCTTATCTTGTTAACAGATAAGACATGTCTTGGTGTAAGCCATCGCATCTTGGCGCATTTGAGGCCAATAATACCCTTGTCCCAACAAAGCAACAGTACGCCTTCAACCGGGATACCCAGCCCATGGGGTATCATGACATTCCTTTAACAGCTTCTGTCGCAGATTCCCAACTCGAAGAACAAACATTCGTGACCCCTTTGTCATCAATAAACCATTTTCTATCCAAAACCATTTCGAACCACCCTTTTTAACCATCTCCATAAGGGCCACCACTTGCGGATCTTGCTTGGAAAAGTTCACAATGAGCTGACGAATTTCATTGGACACTCTACTAGCGGATATAGGGGCCACACATCGGAGTGCTGCCAAATCTGTCATGCGACTCAAAGCGTCAGCTACCTGATTCTTTTTCCCCGCCTTATGCTCAAAGTTAAAGTCAAACTCGGCCAGAAACTCTTGCCATCTAGCTTGCTTTGCTGTCAGTTTCGCTTGTGTCAGGAAGTGGCTAACTGCTGTATTATCGGTCTTTACCACAAATTTGGAACCCAACAAATAATGCCTCCAAATCCTAAAACAATGAATTACTGCGAGAAGTTCTTTCTCTGGAGCCGTATACCTCGCTTCAGTTTCATTTAGCTTCATACTCTCAAACGCCACGGGATGTTTGTTCTGTAAGAGTACCCCTCCAATTACATAGTCGGATGCGTCTGTCTCTACTTCTAGAGGTTTTTCTAGGTCTGGCAAGGTAAGCACTGGTTCACTGATTACCACTTTCTTTAAATCGTCAAAGGCCTCTTGACAGTCCTTGAACCAAACCCACTCACAACCTTTCTTTAGCAAATCAGTGAGTAATTTTACTCTACGAGAATAACCTTCTACGAATCGTCTATAATAATTGGCCAAACCAAGGTAAGATCTAAACTCACTAACATTTTGTGGGGTCGGCCACTCCTGGATAGCCTTCATATTCTCTTTATCCATACGAATGCGCCCTCGCTCAATGATGTGGCCCAACAAGTGGACTTGTGTTTGGGCGAAAGTACATTTCTCCTTCTTCACAAACAACTGATTTTCCCATAATCTCGTCAGCACCAACCGAAGATGCTCCAAGTGCTCTTCTATAGAAGTGCTAAATATCATTATATCATCCAAGTAGATGACTACGAATTTATCGAGATAGTCATGGAATACCTGGTTCATCAAAGTGTAGAAAGTAGCGGGATCATTGGTTAGTCCAAAAGGCATAACAAGAGAATTCAAATGCTCCATACCGAGTTACACATGCCATTTTTGGCTCATCCCCTTCGGCCACTCTCACTTGATGGTATCCCGACCAGAGATCTAACTTCGTGAAATACTTAGCATTACTCAGCTGGTCGAACAAATCGGCAATCAACGGAATGGGATATTTATTCCTGACAGTCACTTTGTTTAATGCTCTATAATCAACACACAATCTCAAACTCCCATCATGTTTTCTCTGGAATAACACAGGTAGGGGTGTAAACGAGCCGAGTCGAGCTCGGGTATTGCCGAGCTCGACTCGAACTCGAAAACTTTAAACATAAGCTCGACTCGACTCGAAAAATCGCGAGCCTAAAATTTTCAAGCTCGACTCGAACTCGAAAAATAATATTGAAACTCGACTCGAACTCGAAAAGGCTCGAACTCAAAAAAATTCAAGAGATTGATTGAAGCTCAAGACTCAAGCTCAATTGAAGCTCGATTTTGAGCTCGATTCAAGCTCGATTGTGAGCTCGATTCAAGCTCGATTGTGAGCTCGACTTAAGCTCGAGGATGGGTTAATATTCTTTTGTTGAAACCCATCCCCTTTTATACATTCAACTTACCCCTTATTCCCCAAGAACCACCGATGTGGGATATAACTCACATAGGAGTTAGGACAGTGAACCTTGTTTCTGGTTCTAGTTTCAGCTCTTTCACTCGGCCGATTTATCGTTGGACTGTGAACATGTCTTCCCAAATATTACAACAGCAACATCATACTTTACAGACAATTACATGCCTTTCTCGTTGATATTCAACTTTACCCCTCTGGTGCATAACTGGAATGGCTCTTCTTACCTGCCAAACATAACCACCATATTACAAACATGATTGAACCGGATGTACATACAACCTGAAAATTGGCATACTCGAATGAATAAGTTTTTAAGTTAATTACTTACAATTGATTTGTTCATCCCCATTCTAGTAAGATCATCGATCAACCTTCTTTCTGATATGCGATTTCCAATTCCCAGTATTCTCTTTATCTGGTTCTCCGCTTGCTATATATGTATTAAATTTTGTTAACATGTGGAAGATCACAAGAGTAGGAGAACAAGTTCAACAAAAATGTCTACAAACCTTTATCTCATTAGCCATTTCGGGAGATATGTTAATATGCTGGTTTATTCCAGAACGTGCTGCATCCATGGTGGAAACTTTGAAAAGTCACAAATTACCAAAGTAGGTTAACTTCATGTTTGAATTTAATTCAAGCATTCACGACCTAACATGAATTTCACGAATTGTCGACTACGTTGCACTCGAATCTGTCTTCCCATAAACATCTGCAATCACAAATTATCAGTTTCTTGACTGAAAATACAAAAAAAATAATCTAGAAATTTACAAAATAAGGAACTACCTTCCCTTGGAAAGTAGACAGTGCTGCATCAGCTTCTTTCTTGGATTTGAAAGAGACAAAGGCATAGCCGGATGACTTTCTCGGATTATCATGAAATATAACTTCAGCAGAAACAACATTAGCACCCTCAGAGCCCTCACTTCATATGAAAGATTCGCCACGAACAAGTTGATTTTGTCTCTATTTCTTATTTGTTTTTCCATTTTGTCTGTTCTGTTTGGTTGTTGCTGCCACTGCCATATGATGGCCGGCCGTTTAATGTCACGGCAAGTACAACCGTAAGTTCGCCGACCCTTGTAGACTACTCTCGGTAGCCCCCTCCGTTGTTTCGTTCGAATATTATATTCGAATGGAACTCACTGCCAGACCAGTTCTCCGACTCGAACCAGAAAAATATATACATACACATTTCTGTCACTGTAAAATTAGTTCCTACATTATGAAGTTTGGTATTTGAATTTGAAATCAAGCATCATGAATTTTGTAGGAAATTTTGAATTAGGAATCGAGTTACAGCCTCCTCCACTTTACCCACGAACTTCAAATCGACTGTTGCAGCTTGTGTTGACTGTGAGTGTTAATTGTCAAATTTTAGTAGGTTGGTCTTGTCATTAATTTTAGAATAATTTGTTTATTTAAAATATTTTGTATGTTCTAATTCGGGTCGATCCACTGTTCGAGCTAATCGTAATAAAGGTTATTATCGGTCCTTAACTGTTAATGAGGTGTGTCTTTTTAATTGGGGCTACATTATTTTTTTTGGTTTCTTATTATTTGTTTGGTTGAAATTGATTTGAAACATGAATGTTATGTAAAATTTATTGCCTTAAATACAATTTTGATAAATATTATATATTCCATGTTGGCTTGTCGGATTTTAATGGATATTGTACATTTAGAATATTTGAATTTTTGGGTGATTTGTCGGATTCAGAATATATGTATATATTTAGAATAAATATTTTGAAATATTTAGCTGAAAATATGTTATATTCGGATCATATCAGATAATTATGCCATTTTGTATGTCATAACTTAAACCCTAACCCCTAACCCTTAACATATAAACCCTAAACATATAAACCTTAAATCATATTACATAAACTCTAAAACTTTGAACTCTAAACCCTAAACTATAAACCTTAAATCATATCACATAAACTCTAAAACTCTGAATTCTAAACTCTAAATCCTAAACCTTAACACCTAAACTCTAAACCTTAAACACTAAACTCTAAACCTTAAATCCTATTACATAAACTCTAAACTCTAAACCATAAACCCTAAACCTTAAATCATATCACATAAACTCTAAATCCTAAACTCTAAACCCTAAACCTTATCATATAATTTGAAGGAATGAGATGGCTTAGTGAGGGTAAAGAGAGGGTATACTTGTTTTGATATATTTTTTAAAATTATTAATATTTAAATGAATCATATTTTTTATTATATTATTTATTATTAAATAAAAAATTAGTTAGAGGTAAGTACAATATAGCATCTTGATATTAATGCTCAACCATTGATATTTATGATATTTGAACTTGAAACTCAAAATATAACAACAATTTAAAAAATTAGTTACAAATATTATCATTAGAAATATTAAATATTTGTCATTAGATAATAATTTTTTTTATTAATTTAAAATAAATATAAGAAAATTTATTCAAAAATAATTTTTAACCATTTTCAATTTAAGAATATTTATTCATCAATAATATATTTTTAATAATGTAATTTTAAAAAAATCTAAAATTATAATATAACATTTTTTTCGAGCTGCTCACGAGCTTTTCGAGTCGAGTATCGAGTAGCTCGTTTCGGCTCGTTAAGAACTCGAGTCGAGTTCGAGCTCGAGTCGAGTCCATTCGATCCGAGTATTTATCGAGCCAAGATTGAGTCAATCTCGAATAGCTCGCGATCTATCTCGTCTCATTTACAGCCCTAAACACAGGCGCCCCGAAAGGTGACTTCGAGGGTCGAATAAATCCTGCTTGGAGTAACTCATCCAATTGTTTCCTCAACTTTGCCAACTCCGGAGGACTCATCCGATACGGGCACTTCGCAGGAGGTTTTACTCCCGGGATTAATTCAATCTCGTGGTCCACCAACCATCTAGGGGGCAACTCTTTTGGCAGTTCACCTGGCATTACATCCTCAAAGTCTCTCAACACTTCTTGAACATTCTTGGGCACCGTGCCAAGATTGTCATCCTCTTTGGAAATTGGAAATACTAAGAAGGAAGGCTCCCCCTTTTTCACCCCTCTCTTAAATTAGATAGCGGACAATATCTTCTTCCTAGGACGAGGGAAAATCGTAGATGGTACCATACATAGCTACTCCCCCATGAACATTAAACAGCTTGATGCTGGGACAGGAATCACCTGGGCTGCCATCATAAAATTGAGCCCTAAGACCACGTCAAAATCATCCATGTGGGAGACAGTGAAATCTACACTTCCTTCCCAAGACCCAAGCTTGATACTGACCCTCTTCACACCTCCACATATCGTTGAAGTGGCAGAGTTAACTGCTTTCATTTGTCCCACCTCCTTGGTGACAATCAACTTACATTTCTTAGCTTCCTCTGGAGAGATAAACGTATATGTGGCTCCTGTGTCGAATAGAGCTTTAGAGGTTTTCCCATTTACTGAGATGTCTACATACATCAATCCCCTCTCTGGCTCTTTCCTCAAGTTACTCAACTGAGACTGTAATGTAGTTATGAATCGGATGGAGCCCATTCTAGCCGGCTCAGGCTCGGTATCTCCCATCGGAGCGTTCACTCGTTCTCCGTCCTTTGTTGTTGCGACCATGGCATTATAAGCACTTCGTTGTGGACATTCTGCAACCTAATGAAGTCCATTGAAAAGAAAACACCTTAATGAGGGTCTATTCCCTCCATTGCTCGATCCAGGACCAGTAGGGACTCTATTTTGAGTTGGGTCCCTTCCAGGGAATCTTCTATTCGCTCCCCAACTCGATGTCTTCTCCCTTCGAGCCAACTTGTTCCCACTAACCTGTTGGGTGTTAGCTCCACTCGTAAAAGACATCTTGCGCTTTCCAGGATGATCGTTATAACCATTAAGGCACTCGGCAGCAGCTATCATTACTTTCAAATCTTGAACCTTCTGTCTCTGCAACTCGAGTCTAGCCCATGGCTTGAGCCCTTCAAGGAAATGAAATAACTTATCTCTTTCCGACATATCCTTATATCCAACATCAATGTTAGAGTTTGAAGCGTAACCATTCTAGATATCTGAGGAGGATTGAGCCAAACATGAAATTGGAGCTTAAGTCCAAAAGTTCAAGAGAATCTAGCCTATGAATCTTATCAGGAAGTGGACCCCATATTCCAAGAGACACTAAGCTAGCACCCTCAAACTGGTTAACCTTGTCAATGTGGTAACCAAGGAATCAATGGAGAAAGTCAGAGACAATGTTTTACCAGGAATTGCATATCCATTGAAGCCATCAATATTGGCAAGCTTTATCTCCCCTAATCTTAAGCTCAGTGACAATTATCCTGGCAAGATATCACCACATGTGACGTTTCAGACAAGTACAGAGGTCCCCATTGTAATTTTCCAGAATTTGGAGCTCTGAAGGGTACTCTAAATGCATCCTTATTTGCAGCAAAAGTTGAGTTTGATAACTTTGTAATCCATTTGTAGTTAGGCAAAAGCAACTCCATGTAAATTACTAGAACAAACCAGAAAAAGGATCCCATTGAACAAGCTTGTGAACCAACAAACTCCAGATGTAAAGAGCCCTAGGATTGAAAGCAAGAAAGTTAAGTTCAGAAGAAACGAGACTACCTGCAAACTGAAGCTTTCATAAGCAATGGTTACCTGAAGGTTTGAACCTTTATTTGCAAACCCCAAGAATAGAAAATTCACTGAAGTTGAGAGCTGCAAATCCTGCATATGCGCTCTTAGTAAATTCAAAAGCACACTGAAAGTATAAATGCCTGAAATTTAAGCAAATGCTGGTGAAAAAACAAAAGGAAACAAAAAGAAAATTTTACTCGGGAAGACCAAAGGCGGTGTTTTCCCAAGAAAGTTCAGCACTAACTTCCAGTCAAAAGAGAAAGACAAGCAATGGGAGAACACATGAGAACATTAACAAACAAGCAACTTTCATGATCCAAGGAACACGTCTTTAACTCTCTCTCCCTCTTGCTACTTTCCGGGAAAGTAAACAACTACCCAGAAAACCAAAACAAGGTTAAAAAACTGTACCTTGAAGTAATTAGCAAACTGTAAAGGTTAGTTTAACATAGGTTGGTTAAGTTTCTGAAAACGATAGTAGTATTTAAGAAAGTGAGGTATTAAAGACAAGTGAGACTGCGCCTGCAAAATGCAAATGTAATGGAAGGTGGTAGTTGAAAAACACCGTACAAAAGGGAGAAACAGTCCAAGATAACCGATAAGGCAATTAAGAGGGAGGGCAATTAAGAGGGAGGTGCATTAATGGCAAATCCTTTATTTTTCTTGAGAGAAATACAAAGCAAGGATTGCTGAGAGAAAAGCGTGTTTAAGAAATGCAGAAATGGAGAGTGAACACTGTATAACCAAAATAATACAGATTTCAAGTTAAATGAAGTTGTCTTTTGATAAAACAACATAAGTCTATCATAAGATAATCATCTGCAAAACATGCAGTTGATGAACAAAAGTAAGGCATCATATCAGTACCAGATATGGGAATGGAAAAAGGATCAAGCAATTTCAATGTCTTCTCACCCCCAAAAGAAATTAAAAAAGAAGAAGAAAGCTATAGCATTGGAACTTGGAATAATGGTAAACAAGCTTTGCAGTCACTCTAATCCTGGGACCTTTTCCTCTTGGACAGCCTGTTTTGAAGGCAAGGCCACGTTACATTTAAGCCTTGGAATCCCATGCAACATGATCAACTACAGCAGTAGCACCACCTTAAACCAGGCGCTTGTGCCCAATGTTTCGAATCACAAAATGCCAAAATCCCACCTCAAAACCATGGATTTTAGTCTCTCCTTTCCTATAGTCTTATATATTGATCAAGAGAATCTTGTACGTTTGTGGAAAATGAAACCACTCACTTGCCTTTCAAATTGAAGCATAAAAGGGGGGGGGGGAATATGCGGAGACAAAGAGACATATGTAGGTTGAGGGAACAAAGCAGGCTGGAATCTTCATGTTTGGATATAGCAATTACCATCTGACTGACTCAGGCTATTCCTACTTTCATAGACATCATTGCAGATATTTGGGTGTAATTGAACAAAACTTTTGATCATATGTTGTATAATATTTCTTTATCGAGTAAAATAAATTAGTATAAATAAAATTTTATATTAATTTAATAAAAAAACTAATTTGAAAGCTCATTTATAAATTCGTTTACCAATTAATTCATTGAACACAAAGTGAACTCGTCTACTTCCAACTCTTGGGAGAGATGGCTAGTAGGTTAAACAAATGATTAGCGGAAAACAGAAAGAGTTAATCAGTAAGATTCCTTGTCTCATTCCATGACATACAAACAAAGATAGTCAATAATTAAATTAAGGGTAAAGTATAGTAATGGTCATTGAACTTTTCTAAAACTTTCATTTAAGTCCCCCAACTTTTAAAACTTACAATACAATCCTCCAACATTTAGTCCCTTTGCAATATGGTCCCGACGTAACCGGCTGTTTGACACTGTTACACTGTCGTTAGTACGTTTGCAATATGGTCACTGAACTTTCAGGCGCTTGCATTTAGGTCTCTCAACTTTTAAAACTTGCAACACAGTCTTCAATTTCCAAAACATGTAAAAAAATCCAATTGGTTCATGATATATCAGTCCCATAATCAACATGAACTTATTAAAAAGAATACGAGCTCACAGGACGCCGAAAACCACAGGTCGGATCAATACAATTCCCAGTAAATTAGTACCATCAGTCTCTCGGATTGAGCCTGGCGATTTCACTATGTCGATACTCACAACCAATTCCCTGATTTAAAAAAAAAACCAAACAAGAAGATCAAAAAAATTTAGCCTAGACCCTCTTTCACTTCTATTCTGATGGACTGAATATCTTTCATAAGGAGTACTAAAAGTTTTTATTAAGAATAAAGAAAGAAAAATAGATGGTTTTGGTTCAAAACTAACACTGAATATCCAGATTATTAACATGCAGTTCCAGAAACATAAAAATTTCAACAAAAAACACATAATGTGAGTTGAAAATGGGAAAGTGCGAAAGAGAAAATTTACTTCCGGATAGCCCAAAAGTGAAAATAAATATCATCTTGCAAGTGAGGGGAGAGGCTAAGAAATAAATGTAATCGGTGTTGCGTCCAACAATTCTTCCTCCATTTTTTCTTTGTAAATAAAAGCTGAAAGACGGAGCATTGCTTGGGTTTACAATTATACATGGCAGAAAATTAAAGAACAAACACCAAACGAGAGTGCATGTGAGCAAAAGAGACTGAGAAGTGAATGCGTTGTTTGGATTTCATTATATTTGATCATCTATTGGAAAATCTTTAACCACAATAATTAAACGAAGAAATTATTATATGCCCTTTATACAAAATAATTCCAGCTTTGTTGGTAACTTTCAACAATGATACTTAGTTCATCTTAGTAGTATTTGTCAACTCTGCATTTCTAACCCCATTTTTCTCACAAACATTTCATCGGTACATCTATGCTTCACCTGAGATGACATGTATCTAACATTACACCTTAATCATTGATGGTCCCGATAGTCCATTGGTCGGATCTTCTCTCAATGGACTCTTATTCAAGTCAACACCTCCACATAATTCAAAGTTAGATTAGAATTTCCCATGTATCCCCGACTGAAAAGTTACGTTGGAAATGAGAAGAGAGAAGCGAAAAAGGAAATTCGAGATCGAAAAGGAATTTAGGGTTTAGAATGAAATTAAGAACTGTTGCAAGTTTTAAAGGTTGGGGACCTAAATGCAAGAGCCTAAAAAGTTCAGAAACCATATTGCAAATGTACTAACGACAGTGTAACGGCTTCAAACGGCTGATTACGTCGATGATCATATTGCAAACGGACTAAATGTTGGAGGACTGTATTGCAAGTTTTAAAAGTTAGAAGACCTAAATGAAAGCTTTAGAAAAGTTCAGTGAACATTACTGTACTTTACCCTTAAATTATAGACAGCTTAATCAAACAAGATTAAATAACATCTAAATGACAAATAGCTACGTGTTAAGAAACAAATGGGACAAATATGTAAATGGGCCCACCGCTGTATCTGATGCTAAGGCTGCTGCTGAATGCCATCCTTCACTTCCATCTTTACTTACTCGAATTTAAATGCTACTTATTAATATAATACAAATATTAATATAGGTTTAATATAATTTTTTCATCACATTTATAATGTAAGTAATAGAAAATATATTTATCAAGATTTATTTCCTTTTCCAATAATTATTAATTAAATATTGAAATAGATATTTTAAATAATTTAATATTTATTTTTCTTTATGTGGTTCTGCTCTCAAAGTGCATAAGTCGTAAGCAATTTGGGCGGAACATCCAAAATCCAAAGGCTTAATGGTTGTTGAAGCCTTCGTATTTTATAAAAAAGAGTAAACTATACTGTTGGTCATGAAACTTTTAAGATGTTTTTATTTCGATCACTAAAATTTAAAAAGACCATTAAAATTATTGTATAGGAAAAGTTCATTTCGACCACTAATATACTAAATCTTTAATGATTCCTGACATAGTACGTCTATATGTTAATAATAACCGATTTAATACACTCATATTTCATGGATAACTAAAATAATATATTTATATATCAATTTTAATAAATTAAAATCTATCGATAAAACATTAAATCTAAAATTTTTCTTTATTTTGTCTGAAATACTTCACCCACTTAGCATATAAAAAACATAAGGCTATAGTGTTTATAAAAATCTAACTGACGGGTGAGGTTGTTTATATAAATCTAACCAACGGATGAGATTGCAGGTAATTATAACCGTCCGATCACTTCATCTTGAATCTAAAGGTCAAAGTTCCTCTAAAGTCGGGAAAGTCAATTTGCTTTTGGTGTCGTAGAAGAAGAATATTCCCTTTGTGTTTGGCGATACAAATTTTCAAAATTTTCGATAAAATAGTGAGTATTTTATCAAAAATCAATCGTTAATAGCTTTCTGTTTACCTCCTTTAATTCGTTGCCGAAAAGATTAGGGAGTTGACGAAAGGATTTTCGAGATTCGAGGAACCGTGAAAGAGCAGTGGCAGATTGGTAAGTTTCACGGGGTTGTTCTTGGGTTTTTGTTATTTTTGAAGCTGGATTTGGGTTTTTTTTGTTGGGTTGACGGGGATTTGATATTGGGTTAGGGTTTTGTTGTACCGATGTAAGGATTGGAGATTTGAACTAGTAAATTCAACTGTAAATTTTTCAAATACGAATCAGACAAATTAGCTTCTCTTTATATTGCAATTAATTTATCATGCATGATTGAAAATGTTAAATGCGACTATCGTGTTCTCCTTTTTGTGTTTATTTTTAGGGTTTAACCTGGCGAATATGGTTTATTTAAAAAGATTTGGATTTTTTAAAATGGTAAACAATATGATTAAAGAAGTTCGGGATTTGGGTAAATGCTTGTAAGACCTGATTTAATTAAACTCTTAATAAATTCAGTTAAATATCATGCACTTCCCTTATGTTGTTGGTAAATTATAACTCTGTGTATACTCACGTTGGAATTGGAGACAGTCAATTCTTTATTGATGTTCTCTTGGGTTAAATATGGTGAATTAGGGTCTTTCAGAAGATGGTTTTGTTCAAACAAGTATACAAAATGGTTTTCAGTATTAGGGTAAATGCGAATAAGAATTTATTTAATTTGCTCAAAACTGCTATCAAACTTTACTTAAACAGTTGTATCTAAGGGTGGTGTATAAAGTTAGTCTAGAAATCCTGTGGGATAATTTGTCTCCCATGGTTGATATACGTTTTGTGATTTTTTTTTTTTGAAAAATGGTACTTTGTATTAGGAATGATTACAAAGAACATCACCTCAAAGACCTCATTAAAAAACCTCTATAACCCTAAATGGAGGAAAAAGAGTAAACCTTGAGGTGGTAAGGATCAATAACACAGAAACGCTTACATAATACAGACCATACCCCCGCCTTACCACAATTTGAACTCATGAAAAAACAAACAAAGACAAACCAATGAACAGAAATGAGGACTAGAAATGAAGCAAACGCAGCCAACTAAACCAATGAAAACACCATACTATCAAGACGAACCATCAACATCAACCAAACTTAAACGTAGCCAAGCAAGGAACTCCAGCGAAATCAGCTCCTGGATTGCAGAAGTTGCCATTGGTCTTATGCAATAACAGAGCCATATTACTAGGGATTGATATCAATTCAATTCTTACCAGCTGAGTCGAATCATCTAGCTTGAAGGAAGAATGATGCCCCACTAATAACATAACTATCTAAATCTAGAACTTTCCGAGGCTAACTGAAAATCAAACGATAAGAATGGGGGCTAACAACAGATGCTGCATATCGACTAATACGCAGATCCACAGAGGAAACAACTAAAATAATGTGCGAATAAGCAAACGATGGCTGTGAACTATTGAGAAACAAGAAACACATCAGGAAGAGTCAATAATCGAAGCAAAAAATAATGGCCTCAGGACAACGCACAAAGTCTAGTATATGAGGAACTAGTGTCAGCCAAAGAATATTAGCCCAAAACCCATCCTGCAGTAAAACCGTATTGAAGATCTGATCAACTGAGAATGAACTGCCATTAAATCTAGACTTATTTCTGCTCAACCAAATCTGCCAAATCAAGCCGAAGAAGCCAAGATGCCAAAGGTTCCTAACTCTTCTTTTAATATACTATGACGAACATATCTCTAAGAGCTGTTTAACATCCGATGGGAAAGTGATCCTAATTTCCCATAAGATACACCTTTGTCACACTTTCCAGACAACAATGCAATGGCATAACACATGGATGACATCTTCCGGTTGATCTTTGCAAAAAAGGTAAATAAGTTGAACACTACTGTTAACCCCTCTCTTGGTCAATTCAGTCGCAACCGACAGCCTGTTATAAACCGTTTTCCAAACAAAGGCAACCACTTTAGGAGGCACAAATTTATTCCAAACTTTATTCCATATAGGATCTTGAATAATGCCGACCGATGCTGATTTTATGCAGAATTCTTTAGATTTATATATGCCATTGGAATCACCTAACCACATCAATCTATCTAACCCAGGAAAAGAAGAAACACCACTATTAATAACATGATTAAATTGATTCTATATCAGTAATTCCCATGAGAACAACCCACGCCTTAACTCAATCCTCCATATTCATAACCCATTCGCCCAGCTCCCGAATTCGCTAATCTTTCCCTGTTTTTTAATGGCCATCCCATAGATTCTAGGGAAGTCAACTTTCAAAGAACGAACATCGGTCCAGAAATCTATTCTTGAACCATTCCCCATAACACACCGAACATCAACAAGGAATTCATCCTCATTTGACAACAGCGGGTGCACTATCTCGTACCACAACCCATTCAACCTTCGAGCGCTAATACCTTTAGGTAAAATCACCTCAGGATCATACATGTACTTAGCAACAATAATCTTTTTCCATAAGCTATCGTTATCCTCACTAAAACGCCAAATCCATTTATTCAACAATATTCTATTTCTAACTTTAACATCAAAGAAGCCTAGACCACCATGAGATTTCAGGCCATTAACCATATCCCACTTAATCCAATGAATACCTCTATCAGACTTAACATTCCACTGAAATCTTGCTATACATTTGTTAATCGTCTCAGTTATGGATTTTGGCATAGAAAATAACAACATGTAATACACCGACAAATTTACCAACACATATTTAATCAATGTAGTCCTACCCCAAAAGAAAACAACTTACCTTTCCAGCTTTGGAGACGGGATCTGACTTTCTCCACAATAGGAAGCCTCATCAATTTAAGGTTTTTTATAACCCAACGACAGCCCCAAATACGTTGTAGGCAACCTTGCCCAATCGTACAACATCGAATCTACCCACCCTTTAACTCTGCAATCATCCACATTAATACCAAATAATTTCTTCTTTTGCATATTTAATTTTAGGCCAACAACAACCTCAAAGATTCTTAGAACACGAAACAAATTTAGGATCTTATCTTCTTTGGCATCTGAAAATAGAATTAGATCATTAGCAAATTGAATGTGGAAGACATCTACTTTACTGACCCCAATATGCACCCCTCGATACACATCGAGAGCAGTCGTTTTCTTTAACAATCTACTAAGCGCCTTGCCTACAATATTAAACAGAAACGGCGATAACGGGAAGCCTTGCCTAAGGCCCCTTTTAATAGAAAAATCAACACAACAATCTTAGGCGTCAAAATGCACAAATAAATCCATTTCCTTCATCTTTTATCAAACCCCATTTTCTTAAAAATCAGGTTCAAAAAATCTCAGTCGACTGTGTCGTATGCTTTGCTGAAATCTGCTTTTACCATTACTGCTTCAGTCTTATTTTTATTCAGTTCATCAACAATCTCATTCGTAATCAAGGAACAATCTGTAATTTTCCCAATAAAATTCATCCATAAACTTCATAACATTGCCTTTAATATCCTTCCAAAACTTCTTGAAGAAATCCAAGTTAAACCCATCCGGACCGGGAGCTCTCGAACAATCAGAAGAATTAATTGTGAGCCAAACCTCCTCTTTCGAGAAAGGGCTTTCGATTAATCTTCTCGATGCAGAGTTGATCCTTTTAAACAGAATATCAAACCTCTTTAACTGAATGGTATTA